ATCTCATGCTGAAGATTTAACTGAAAAAAATGTTTGTATAATCCTAACCTTGCCTGTCTTTTGTGTAGAAGTACTACAAGACTTTTCATTTAGTGTAAACTGTTTGAACACAAACTGTAATTGTCCCACTAAAAAAGTTCGAGTTTGTCTGAGGAATGTTACAGGAATGCATTATTAAAGTGGATTTTAAGCCTTTTTTATCTGGTGTGTTGTCTCTTCTGTTTTTTTAATACAGATGTGTACATGTGGATTCAGGTTATGGTGCAAAAATTGTTCTTGCATAGCTCTGTAAAGAGGTTGTTAAACCCCTGACAGTTTTCTTAACCATTTTCCTTGTCTCAAAACGAGTTTTATTTGAGTATTGAGATGAGACTATCAACAGGTTGGAATGCAGTAAGGGAGTGTTGATAAACCTGGGACGTGTCTGTGTTGTGGATGCAGAGCTTGTCCATGTGTCACTGGGAACGTGGAGCTCAGCTGAGACTGCAGAGGGGGAACCTTAGAAATAAATTCAGATGAGAAAGGGTGGGAGAAAGAGTTACAGCCTAAAAGCATAAAGAGGTGCCTTGAAGAATTGTGAAATCACAGGGAAGATGAAACCATTTTGATATGCCAAATGTTACCTTGAATTAGGGTTTGGTCATGTAGGGAAAGATGATACAATCACTCTGGAGCTTTGACTGATTTACTCCAATCATTGGATGGCTTTTAATTAGCCTGGAATGGGATGATAAGCTGTGTTGAAGAGAGGCTGCAGCTGATGCTCTTTGTTCCTTGTTTTGTTTTCCACATTTGGAAGCATCAGCACTGGTTGCTGGCTTGCTGAGACGATAGGCATTTAATGAAGATTATCGGGTTGATTGTGAAGTATGAAGAGTTTGGTCGTTTTTCACCTGCAACATTTGCTAGCACAGCTCAATATTGCAAAATGTCAAATAAGGCAGTGAGAATGCTGATTAGATTTTCTGTTGCCCTGGGGAGAGAATGGATCTGTTTGTCTGGAATGAAGCTGTCAGACATTCACTATTCCCATGGCTGCTTGGTGAGTGTTTAATTCCAACGTGTGAAATAGCAGGAGAAGAAACTGTGAAGTTGCACCCAGGTGTCTGCATTGTCTCTGGTTGTCCTGCCCATTGATCATCTGGCTGGTGTGTTAGTGAGCAGCCAGAGGAGAAATCACTGTCCAAGGAAACAGGAGAGCTCAAATATTCAGCATCACTCTGCTGCTGTCTCAGTCCTCTCCAACTACCCCGTAAGGGTGGGGCTGGGAGCAAAGGGGTGTAAAATCATGGGGAGGGAGGGATTTAGCACTGCTCAAAGCCCATCTAACGAGGTTTGAAAGATCCAAACTGGAGATCCCGTGACAGCAAAAGAAGAAAAACTAAACTGGTGTGAGTGCTGGAGGTAACTATTCTTAATTTGCTTTAAAGGAGGAGACTGAAAACCTGTGACTGAGGTTCCTGGAAGGAAATTGTAAAGCAAACCATTGCTAAGGTTTTCAGAGGCAAGTGGCAGGAACAGAGTGACTCGTGCAGAAGCATTTACAGCTGGGCAGGCAGGGCTGCCTCACTCCAGAGCAATTCCTTCCTCTGCTGGAGCACTTTGGGCTCTGGTGTCACTGCCTGTGTGTGTAGGAGTGCACAAGCACTTGGGATGTGCTGAGGTTCAGGCAGTGCAGAAGGGAATACTTTCCTCAGAGTGCTGGCTACTGTGGAGTTGCAGATTATTGCAATATTTTGACTATCCTGAAGAGAAACCTGTGCCTTTTGCTGTCATACCTTGTTTAAAACACAGTTCTGCAGTATCAGTTCAGACCAGACCAGTTTGGTTCTTGATGTTTTGCTCTTAGGTTTAAATCCCCGTCATTTGTGGACTTCAGAAGTTATAGCTTGTGCTTGGTACAGCCTCCTCTTAATCAATAATGACTGAGTTTGTGAGAATCGCAGATAAATCTGAAAAATCCAGCTGGGACCTGGATAATTTTGTGGTATCAAAGCAGCAGACAAACATTTCAATTGTTTTTTCTGGCACACTGCCTGCCTGGAGCAGCTGCAATTTATCACAGAAAGCTACAAGTGGTGGGATGTGCTGATCTACTGCAGTGAGCTACCTGTGGGGGCTGTGAGAAGGAAGGTGTGATTTCCTGTGGCCTTGCTGAAATGCCACAGTCATTCTCTGTTTTGTCTCGGTCATGACTTGGGTCATGTTGAGCACAATCAGTGCAGAGCTCTTGGACAAAGAGCTGGTCCTGAACTCCTCAGCAGTGCAGTCAGAAGAGTGGCTGGGGGGAACTTCTGATGTAGAATTGCTCAGCACATCCTCTTCTGAGGAAGGTTTTTATTTCCCAAATAAATAAAACATTAATCCTGCCTGCTGGCATACATAGCAGTAATATGTTTATCAGGGATTTTCCTCCTCCTAAGCAGCCTTTTGTGTGGAGGAATTACTCTGCTTTAGAAATGCAGTGCCTTCCTGCTACCCTGGCTCCACAGAGCATCCTGAATGACTGAAGGGTCAGGGGTGAGCTGGGTTTCTTTCCCTGGAGGCATTCAGCAGTGTTCTCCTCAGGAATGTGGAGGGCTATTTTACACTGACCCTGATCGTTCAAGGGCAAACACATTAAGCTGGGTTTGAGAATAACTTATTCTTCATTTTTCTACCTCCTTTTTGTTCTGTTATATATGACATTAAGTGCACGTGAACCAAACAGGCTCTATTTTTAATTCTCAGCTGGCCCGTTCCTTGCAGCCTGTTTGAAAGGTGTCGGTCATGGTCGTCCCTGCTCAGCTGACTCACACAGTGACTTCTGCTTTACTTGGAGCTCTGCTCAGCAGGAGGGGCACACTCAGCAGCGCAGCCCAAGTGCCACTGCCAAAAACCTCAGCTCCAACCAAGATGCTGTGTGATGAATGTGCAGTCCAGCGAGCTCTTGACCACCTGAACCTCATCTCTTCCTGATTTTTAAAGCACCATCTCCAGCAGAGCCTCGGGTGTGCTGCTGCCCCTCGGTGCTGCCGAGGGGGGTCTGCTCAGCCTCTGCCCCCCCCAGATACCTGCTGGTATCTCTGCAATGTGTGTGAGCCACGTCACCCTCCTGGCGTTCCCTCCGAGGTGTGCGAGGTAACCCGAGCTCCAGATCCCTGCTGGCACGAGGATGGTGACAGCTGCAGGCCTGCTGACAGCTCATGGAAAGGACAGGCACATCTGAAACCCTAGAGCACTGCAGATTTCCCCGTCACAGGCCTCTGCCCAGCTTCCTTGGGTCCCTGGTCATCATTCTTGCCTCAGGATGCCAGCAGAATTTTTTTGCCCACCTTTGGGACTGCTGGGTCAGGTGTTGTGTTCTGAGGCAGTTCAGTGCCTCGAGGAGGGTATCAGCTTGAAGCCACCGAGCTCAGGCTGCTGTGAGAGCTTCCCAGTGCCCTCACATCTCCCTCCCAGCTTCTGAGTGGGTGTGGGTTTATACACAGGGCACCCAGGTACAGGGAGGTGTGGCAGTGAGACAATCCTCCCTGTCTCCATGCTATTGGGATGACAAGGGAAAACTTGGTGCTGCTGGCTGGGCTGGCAGAACTGAGCTGGAGGTGAAGTAGCAGGGCAGTGTGAAGTAAGTCTGGAGTAATTTCCCTGGTAAGCTCCAGAATTTTGATGGTAGTTCACCCTGTCTCTGAACTTTGGAGATCCCCTTAGGGTGACAGAAGATTCTTCAGGCTGTTGTAGGGGGATTAAGTAGATTAAACAAACATCATAGGACAGGGTTGGAGTTGCATCAGCCATGGCAGACCCTGTGGGTTTCCCTCTCTGTGCAGCTTCTGCCTGCAGCACTTGCCCTTTGCACCCTCTGACAGTGCCAAGGACTTCTATTGTCCCTGGTTCCTGAACAGAAATGGTGCCCAGGTGCTGTGTGCTCCTGGAGGTCCAGGCAGCACCCAGGAAACAGCTGTCTCTGCAAGCAGGAACAGCAAAAAGAAAATATTTGGTTTAGATGCTTATAGGAACTAAGTAAAACCTTTGATCTCAAGAGGGTTTCCTGTTTGTAGAGGAAAACCCTTGGGTCCCAGAATGGGAGCAGGGACTCTGGGCACACCCCTCCTGGGTACAGGGGTGCCAAGGAACATTTACCACTTTTCTGTGATGACAGTGATCTTCCAGGAACAGTTTTCATCCCTGGTGTGAGCTCAAGGAAATATAGTCAGGTCTGGGTCTTTGTGTGTGTCTTTCCTCCCCCACCCTCCCCTAAGATCAGATGAGAACAGCAGGTGGGTATTGCAGGAGGAACTGTTTGAATGCTCACATAATGAATGTATTCCAGAGATGGGGGATCTGAGATGTTTGTGACTGACTGTGGTGCACACTGGCCTGTGAAAGGGTATAAAATGCTGCTGCAGTCTGAGCCAACCAGGCAAGCTGGTCTCCTGAGGTCACAGGCAGCTTCTGGGTGGTGTTTGTCTCCCCTGTCCCCTGCAGGGACACCTGCAGGGTACATCCAGACAGAAGACAAGGAACATGCAGAACACTCCCTTTTGGAGGGGTGAGTGAAAACTGCTAAGATCTGGTCAAATACAGAGATAAAACCCTAAAGCAGCTCCACAGGTGCTTTATTGCTTTTTAACTGTCAGTTCTGCAAGGCTAAAGACCTAGCCAGACCTGCTTATGTTATAATCCTTTAGACACAGACTGTGACCCGTGATCTGTTTCAGGAAACTTTCAGCTGCTTCTGTAAATGCTAAAGAGGTCCAGAGGAGTTGTGTGTGTGAGCGTTGGGGTGGTGCTGGTGCCTCTGTGAGGGATGCTGGCAGGATGGCAGGCCCTGGGAGCACCTCTGCACACCCCAGGCCACCCTACAGTGCCCATTCCCTCTGCTGGGCACGGGGCCAGGACAGAAATGCCTTTTGAGATAAGAGAGGCGCCAGGCCCCGTCAGCTGCTCTGTCCATCTTTAGCCCGCTCTCGGGTTACCAGCGCCTCCCACGGCTGCCTCCAAAGATAGGCAAAGCCACCTCCTGGAAACTCTGGGGAAGCAGAGGAGGGATCAGGAGGAGGGATGAGCCCGGTGGGATTTCTGTGGAAGGAGTGAAGGACGCTGCGAGTTGTCCAGGGCGATGGCTTTGCTGTGCTACAACAAGGGCTGCGGGCAGAGGTTTGACCCCGAGCACAACGCCGAGGGTGAGTGGGCCCGTGTGCCCTGCACCAGAGGGAGTGGGAACGTGTGTGCTGCTGTCCCAGTGTGTGGCCCTGGCTGCCATGCTGGAGCTGGAGCTGCCAAGCCCAGCACAGGGAGCCCACATGGCAGGAGCTGGCTCTGGACCTGCCCCTGGCACGGGTGGCTCATGGGCAGGATCGCTTCCCCTGAAAGCTTTTGCCCGGTTCTCCCCTTTCAGATTCCTGCCTGTATCACCCAGGTGTCCCCATCTTCCACGATGCCCTGAAGGTGAGTGGGGCAGGAGCTGGGGCTGCAGCTTCAGGGGCTGACCTTGTGCCCAGCGGGGTTGCCCACACTTGACCAGCCTGTCGTCTCCCGGTGCCCAGGGCTGGTCTTGCTGCAAGAAACGCACAACAGACTTCTCTGAGTTCCTCTCCATAAAGGTGAGTGACCCACCAGCCCAAATGCACCCAAATGCTCTTCCTCCATCCTTTCCTCCTGGCCCCTGCCCTGTCCTGTCCCATCCCCATCCTCTGCCAAGGCTGCCCCTTTTGCCCTGCCAGCCAGGGATTTCTTATCCGCTCCCAAGGAGCCTGCAAGCGAGGATGCTGCTTCCCAAGTGCAGGGCAGGTTCTCCTGCAGAAGGGTGCTGCTGGAAGGGGCTGGAAGGATCCCCCACCAGGATCCTGTAGGAGGAACACAAATGCCCCAAGTGTCAGCACAGCTGAGAATGTCTGAGTGGTTCTGGGGGAGGAAGGAGGCACCAGAGGCCTGGGAACATGGAGGAGACTCCTGCTGCCATTCACCTGCCACACTGGGGCGCAGCAGGGCTGAGACCTGTCTGCCATGGTCCCAGAGAGGCTGCCACACCATCTTGCCCCCAAGAATTCCCATGGACGCAGCCCCTGCCCTGGTGCAGGGTCAGAGCCCGTCCCTGCAGGACACAGAGCCCCCAGAGCGTGGAAACTCGCAGGGTTTGGGAGCAGCCACCATGTTTGGGAATGCAAAGCAGTCATCAGGCTTGCCTCTGGTGTTCAGGGATGCACAAAGGGGTTTCACAGCAAGGAGAAGCCCCCTGAGCCTTCCAGCCAAGGGGAGACCTCAGATGAGCCGAAGGCCAAGCCAGCAAAGGAGCTCATCTTTCAAGGACCAAAATCAGCTGAGAAGATGCTGCGGGAAAGACCAAGGTGAGATAGGCTCAGCTTACAGCGCTGTGAAGCTGCACGTGTCCTGCCCCACTGCTTCCTCAGGAGAGGCAACAGCACTTAAATTGCAAAAAAAAACCCCAAAGACTCAGCCTTTGCTGCTGCTGTTCCCCAGCTCTGATGAGCCAAGACAGCCACTGCCCATTAAGGTGTCCAGGTCTCTGGAGCAGGCACTGGAGAAACTGAAGCTGTCCTCCAAGGACAAGACCCTGGAGAGCAGTGGCACAGGTAGTGATGAGCTGTTGGATGGCTGTGGGGTTGCAGGTGGCGAGCTCAGCTGGGGGTTTGGCGTGATGGGTTCAGCCCCTGCCAACCCGCAGGGCTGGGGCCTGGGGGGCACTGCAGGGGGCTGTGCTCAGCTGAGCAGGGGGCTGAGGGGGGATTGGGGCAGGTGAGGGTGGGGTGTGTGTGTGAAGTCATGCTGCTCTTGCAGGGGAGGCTGCCCAGGTGACAGCTGGCACTAGGTGCAAGAACGCGGGCTGCAAGGCGGTGAGTGCCCTGCAGGGTCCCTGCTTTGCCCTCCTCTCCCCACGGCCAGGACCCTCACAGGGCTCATCCCCCAGGTGCCACCAGGTGCAGGGCAGGGTGTCAGGCAGGTGGGAGGTGGCAGTGCCCATCTGCTCCGTGGGCTCATCCCATCCATCCCTGCAGCGCTGCCTCTGTCCCCTCCCAGCCTCGTTCCTGCAAGAGGCTTCCAGATTGGTGGTACATTCGTGTTTACACTCGTGCTTGCAGTGAAGTGCAGCACAAAGCCAGGACTGTGTGAGTGAAATGCACGTGGAATGATTCCCACCTGCATTCAATTAATGCTGCACAGCCCACTTTGTGTCTGCCCCAAGGCTCTCTCCTGCAGCGCTGCCCGCCTCGAGGCAGGGATGGGAGGGCTGGAATGCTTGGAAAGCAGCAGAGCTGCCCTGTGTGTGGATGGGCATCGATGAGTGAACACCTGGCTGTGCCACATCGTGCTGTGCCAGAGGCACAGACAGAACTGTCCTCTGCTTCTCTCTCCACAGATCTACCAGGGTCCAGAGAGCAACACAGAGGTTTGTACGTTCCATCCTGGCGTTCCTGTCTTCCATGAGGGGTAAGAAACAGCCCTTTGCCAAGGAGCAAACTCGCCCTGCTGATGGCTGGGAGTGTTGCGTTGTAGGGTTGTGTGGTCTCAGCAGCGCAGCCAGGGCAGTTTGTGGGTGATGATGGGGGGCAGGAGGAGCTGTTGGTTATGAGCCCCTGTCCCTCCACACCCCACTGTGGTCCCCTGTCCTGCTCCTGTGTGCCCTCCCCACTCAGGTCACCCTGCTCTCCTCAGGATGAAGTACTGGAGCTGCTGTGGAATCAAAACAACGGACTTCAGTGCCTTCATGGACCAGCCAGGCTGCAGCAGAGGCTGCCACTGCTGGACAGAGAAGGGGGTAAGGGGGCTCATGTGAGCAAAGTGCCATTACAGGCGCTTGAGGAGTGCTCCTTCCCTCGCTCTGCACTCACACATTTCATTGCCTTAATATTCCTAATTGCTGACAGATGACTGCACAGGGTTTGAATGCCTGATCTTCACCCATCTGCCCTTTAAAATGCTGCTCTGCATTCACGAGATGTGTCAGCTCTCACACCCAAAGGGCAGATGTGCAGTAGAGGGAGATGAACGAGGCAGGACCTGGCCCTGGACATGGCATAGCCAGCACTGCAGGCTGCCACATAGACAGCACAGGAAAAGTCCTGCCAAAAAATCCCAACAGTTTTGACAGATGACTGCAGAAATCTGAATTTGGTTTGAGGCTTTCCCTCTGCAGCTGCTTCTCAGGAGGGATCTCATCCACATACCAACATGGGATCATGGCAGGGCAGTGGGGAGAAGATCCCAATTCCCAATATTCCAGGGAAGTTCTTGACTGAAAACAGCCTTGGGCTGGGAAAGTTGCTCCAAAGTAGCCCAGGATAACCCTGAGGGTGCACAGTGTTCCTCTGAGTCAGCACTGGTCCCAGCAACCCTCTCTGAGCCTGATCTGTTCTTTGTCCTGGAGCAGAAAACATACCCTGAATGTAAAGGAGGCTGCAGGGACTGAAGTGTGATGTTGTGATGCAGATGTTTTGTGCTGATTGTCCCCCAAGCCTGGGGCCAGGATTCCTCCTGGAACATTTCTTTGGCTGGCAATGTGGAGGACTGCAGGGGATGATGCTCAGAAATGAGCCTGGTGGGGACAAAGCTACCTGTGGCACTGACAAGGTGGAGAAGGGTGAAATGTGGCCAGTAGGGGCTCATCTGGCTCCCAAATTTAGCGTGGTGATATGGTCCATGTCCAGCAATAGCCACTGCAATGCCAGCCGTGCCGTGGTGGGTTGCTCTGATGGGTTCCTCTGATGGGTTCCTCTCCTCGGCAGGACAAGAAGGCCGTGCTGTGCCGGCAGGACTGGCACCAAACCAGCAGCCAGGTGGTGGTGACAGTCTATGCCAAGAACCCCCTGCCCGCCCTCAGCAGCGTGAAAGCCAATCACACTGTGGTGAGTGGGACCAGCAGAGTTGGGAGGGGGGTGGTATTTCCATGGCACCACCCAATTCTGATGAGCCAGGAGCCAGCCAGGGGCCTGGTGCTCTTTCAGCCTCACTGGGTGGCTTTGCTGGCCTTGAATCACCCAGCCTGTGACAGAGGTGAACCAGTGAAATGTTGCCAAGTGCTGAGGGGATCACCAGGCCATCACTGAGCCAGGATGGGGGATGCATTGTGGTGCTGAAAGGAGGCTTCACTGTCCAGGGGAAGAGCTCTGGCAGTGCTGTGCTACCACTCAGATCATTTTCTGTTGATGTTTCAGCTTGAGGCTCATGTCATCTTTGAAGGGAATAAAGTTTTCCACGCAGAACTGGAGCTCTGGGGGGTAAGATCCTGTTTATTTTGATTTCCCTATTCCAGCAGTCTGCATGGGGCTGGGCTGCAATGCTTTGAGGCAGTCTATGCTTGCTCTTGGTCCTGGGCTGGGTTGCCCAGGTACGGGCATTTACAGCCATCCCTTCTAGGAAATGCCTTAGGGACTGTGGGGAGGCTGAGGTGGCTGCACTGATCAATCCTGAGCTAAGATCAGAGCTGCAGGTCACTGCCAGCTCTATAAGTGTTCTGGGTTTGGTCTCAGGCTGCCCCAAATGCTCTTTTGGCCCAGCAGACCCCCCTTTCCCCTGCAGTGAGTTGCAGGCAGGCAGTGGCGAGAGGGGAGCGACTTTCTGATTTTTCAGCTGCTTGCAGGCTGGGGAGGAGCAGCGAGACTCCGGAATTTGCATGTGCATTTCTTGCCTGTATTTGTGGTGCGTGCTGCTCGTGCCTGCAGGCAGCAGAGGGCTGACAGGTGTGGGTATGGCCGTGTGTGAGCTCAGCTCGCTGCTGGGGAGAGGCTGTGCCGCAGCTGCGCGTGTGGCTGTGGCGAGCTGAGATCTCCCCAGCTCTGAACCGGCACTGTGGAGCTCCTCAGGCATAGCAACGCCCAGCTCAGCTCAGCTGCAGCCCAGGGTTCTCCCAGCACACAGGGAGAGGAGATTTCTGCTCTCTTCTCCTCTGGCAGGGCTTTGCCAGTATGGGGAAAGAGAAGCATGTGCTGCCCCGTCCTCCCCTGCCCGGCTCACTGCACCTTTCCCTCTCTCTAGACCATCGAAATAGAGAAGAGCTTCGTGAGCATGGTCCCAACCAAGGTGGAGATCACGCTTTGCAAAGCCAGCCCTGGCTCCTGGGCCAGGCTGGAGCTCCCCCAGAGCAGGTTGCAGCCCTGTGGTGAGCAGGAGAAGGAGGCTGCCAGCGCAGAGGAGCCCGGGGCAGTGCAGGAGGAGGACTCTGATGACAGCTTGAGCTGGTCGGAGGAGGAATATGAGGAGCTGGAGATGGGAACACCAAGCAGCTGACAGTCTAGTGCTTCAGCAGCTGAGCAGTGCTGGTTCCTGAGCTGCTGGGGACCTTGGCACGGCCTCCAGAGGAGCAGACCTAACCCTGAACCGTGTGCAGGCTGCAGCGTGCCCTCTCCCCCGGTCAGAAGGGACAAGTAATAAACACCCAGAACAAAGGTTGTACTCTGAAATCCCTGACAGGCGCTTAAGAAACGTCAGCAGGCCAAACCCTGCCTTCTGCCACGTCCTCTCCTGTGTCTGGCTGGGGCAGGACAGCAGAAGGAGCTCCCCTGTCTGCACCTCAGGCAGCCTGGGCCAGGTGTCCCTGGGGCCCGGGTGCTCAGAGCTGGGCATAATGCCTGGCCCTGGCACTCCTGGGGGTGTTCAGAGCTGGGCATAATGCCTGGCCCTGGCACTCCTGGGGGTGTTCAGAGCTGGGCATCCTGCCTGACCCTGGCATTCCTGGGAATGCTCACAGCCCGGCATCCTGCCTGACCCTGGTGCTTCTGGAGGTGCCAGGTCCCGGGATTTGCTGGGCACGACCCCCCTGCCTCTCCCTCTCCCGGTGGAGGGGAAGGGAACCGGGCTCTGGGGATCTTTGGAGGGCGCTGGTGACCGGGGACAGGGGAGATGCCATCGCTACCGGCAGTTCCAGCGGAGCCGTGGAGTCCCCGCAAAGCCCGTCCCAGGCGTGACGGCGCCCGTGGCAGGGGAGGGCGATACCACCCGCGGCACGGGACACGCCGAGGATGCGGGGGAGGGGGATCTCCGCGCCAGCCGGGCTGGGAAACAGCGCCCAGCACCGGGACCGGGGGCGGTGCCCGCCCTGTGCCGCCTGCACGGGAGCATCCACACATATAAGGGACCCAAGGGCATCAGCCACTCATTGTATAGTCCTGTGTAGAGAAAGCAAAAGCAATCGCCGAGCTTTGCAATTCTTTTAAAGGAAAGAATTATTCTTGTTGAGGGTGCGTGATGTATGATCGTTGTTCTTTACAGAGACAGGGAGCAGACACTGGAATGGGCTGCCCAGGGAGGTGGTGGAGTCACCGTCCCTGGAGGGTTTAAGAAGAGACCGGAGATGGCATTTAGTGCCATGGTCTGATTGACAAGGTGGTGTCGGGTCAAAGGTTGGACTTGACGATCTCACAGGTCTCTTCCAAGCCGGTTGATTCTGTGATTCTGTGACTATGCATGCACAGAGATGCGTGCTCTTATTTCTTATTCCTGATCGTGGGGATTAAAGCGAATCAACTTAAGAAATCATTCACCACCAGATCCAAGCTACCTTGGGATGAAGGCAGAACCAGAAATTAACGAATTTAGCATGGGCGGATGCTGCCCGCGTCGCGCAGGGGGGCGGAGGGCGGGGGTGGACGGGAGCATTGGCCCATCACCGGGGCCGGGGTCGGGACCGGAGTGGGATTGCCCCGGGGCGTTCGCCCATGGCCGGGTGGTACCGTGTCCGGGGTCGCTGTCCCGGGCCGGGCTGTCCCGTGTCCCTGTCCCGTGTCCCCGTCCCGGGCCGGGCGGTGCCGGGGCCGCTCCGGCTCCCCCTGGCGGTGCCCGCGGGGCGGTGCAGGCGCGGAGGGCGCGTGCGCGCGGCGGGCGCGGGGCGCGGCCGGGTCGAGGGTCCGCGGGCTCCGGGGCGGCGGCGGCGGCGGCGGCCGCGGGCACCGCCCGGGGGTGAGAGCGGGGCCGGGCAGCGGGGCGAGCGGGTCCGGCGGGGAGAGGAAATGGGGGAGAGGCCGGGGAGCCGCGGGGGGCGGCGGAGGGCGCGGCGGGGGAGCGGCCCCGGCGGGCCCCGCGCACGCGTTCCCGCCCGGCGGTGCCGGAACATCCTCCGCGTCCGGCCCCGCTGTCAGCGCGGGGCGGCGGCCGCGGGGCCCTTCACCGGGGTGGGTGGGGGTGTGTGTGTGTATATATGTGTATGTATGGGACGGATTGCGGCACCTGCCCCGCCGGGAAGGGCGAGCTCGGGGGCGCCGGGGGCAGCGCGCCCCGGCCGCGTGGCCTGGCGGTGCCGGGGGGTGTGGGAGGTGGGATGCGCTCGTCGGGGACGGGGTGGGGGCCGGGAAACCCGGTTAAAGGTTTTCAAACAAACCCTCCCGCGGTGCCGTTTCTCGGGGAGCGGCCCCGTGGCGGGCCGTGGTCCTGCCCGTCCCGCGGGGAGCGGAGGTTGGGCCGCGCTGCTCCGGGCTGATGCTGATGCTGATGCTGCTCCGTGCCGGGAGCACCGCCGCGGGTCTAAGGCGACCTCTGCTCCCGCCGGGTGTCATAAAAAGTTGGCACGGGATGAGTTCGCCTTTGGAAGGGTCTCTTCTTTCATTGCTGAGAGTGGATTTTTTTCTGGGAGGGATATAAGGAGAGTCGTGTTTGATCTACCTTCTAAAATTGCTGTCTCGGGAAGAGCAGGGCAAGGTAGTGACCTAAAATATTCTGAGCGGTGTCAGGAGTCACAGGTATTGTCTCATTTAGCAGCTGCCACAGGGCACTCCATCAGCTTAATTGTTCTCCTCTGGAGTCCTGTGAACTTTCAGGTTTTATAACAACCTGCACTGAGGAATTCCTGCTTAACCTCAGCCCCCAAGAAGCAATGCTGCTTTTTATTTGTTCTGAACTTCTCTCTTTCTCTTTATTATTTTTAAATTTTTTTTTTTTGTCCCTTTTGGTCCCTTTTATTTATTTTTTTTTTTTTTTAAGAACCAGTGAGTAATCAGTATCTGTTTATTCCTTATAAACACTTGAGATTCCCATCATAATCTCAGTTATAAAAAAAGCTTTAGGTACTTTAATTTAAGCGTTCTTTGTGTGTACCCCGTACTTGCAACATGTGTCCTGTGCTGGAGTGCAGCACTCCTCGAGCAGCATCATTAAGCTCTTTGCCCCAAGCTTATTTTTTGATTTTCAAAAGCTCACGTTCTCTTCCGTGTGAGATGTAAAGTACATCGCTCAAAGGCACAGTTTTGGGCCAGTTTGCTGCTGTTCAGCTGCACAACAATTTTCCTATAGGGAATTGAGGATTATGAGACATATTTGGCATTTTAGCTTGTTGTTTCCATTAAAAAAAAAAAGCGCTTTTGAATGTTCTTCTGTGAAGGAATTTTACAGAGATCTTGGAAAAGTAATGAAATATGCAGCTTGCAATTAGCAGGAGGAAATTAAATATGCAGTTTGATTTGCTTACCTGGTGAGGCTGTGATTCTTTTGCAGTCCAAAGCGTTTTCACTCAGTTTAGTGTCATGCCTTTACAGGAAATATTTTTTTACTTTGCTGTACGTGCCTGTAATGTGTAAATCTGTCAGACTGCTGAGAAACTCCTTAACTTTTGCTCACATTTTAGAGCGGGGATACGTGATGCAAATGAGACTTGGCAAAAATTGCAGTATTGTAATGCGCAGGCCATGATAAAAACCACAACGAGTGCATGTGTTAACTCCTGTCTTAATCACACCAAAACTCTTTAAGGACGCTTTGGAGAACTGTTACTGATTGAGCAAGTGCATTTTTGTTTGTTCTGGGTTGGTTTTGTTTGTTTGTTTCCCGTTTTGCTTTGTGTGCTTTGTGTTTTGTTTGGTTTTGTTTGTTTGGGGTTTTGTTTGTGTTTTTTAACACACACCCCCCAACCCCAATGAAGGTTTCGGGTGGAGGAGGAGAAATCAAACAAACCCAGTCCAGTGAAAAGTGTGTGTGGGCTTTTATTTCTCCAGGAAAGAAGCTTAGATTTTCCTGGTGTAACATTGCCCTTTGGATACAAGGGTGGCTTTGTTACAACCCAGAGTGCCGGCAAATGCCAGGTGACAAAAGATGACAGGGAGACAAACTAACAGTTCTCTCTCTTTCCACCCCAAATAGGACTCGAGGATGCTTAAACTGGAGTTGTCCTTCATCCTGCAAGGTGCTTAATACGCCTCTTCTCAAAGCCTGAGGTACTGCTTGTTTGTTTTGGCCTACAGTAATGACTAAGACCGTGTCAGAATCTATAGAAGATAGAAAGGACATTGTGTTTCTGACTTCTGATGAACTGACTGTGGTCCCCAGGACCTGGGCCAGTTGCTTGTGTCACCCAGCAGACAAGTGGTGGATGTGGGCACAGAGCTCTGCTCTCACACCTTTGCTGTGCTCGCCACTGCAGCTCCTCAGGGTCACTCGTGCTCAGAAAAGCTGTGAAGGCTCCCTGCCTGGATGAATCCATGATTCTGGGGGTGGCAGGAGGAACATCAAGTTTAATACTCTGCAGCTTTTTGATTATGTCACGTTCCTACACTGGGGCTTTCAGATACCTGCTGGAGTCTTAGTTTTTAGCTCCAGTGTGACTGCGTGGCTGTACCTCGTTGCAGTGTTGTTTCATGAGCTAACACCCTTTTTAAATATTAATTATCCATTAAACATAATCTTGGGTTCGTAGAATTTAAGGTCTTTGGTATTTGGTCACTAATATTATTGCTCTCCTCTAAAATTTGGAGTATGAGTGCCTGCAGTAAGAGTGTTGTTGAGGTGCCCAAATACCTCATGCAGACCACTTTGTTTTCACTGTAGTTCCATAAGAAATATGACTTACATGGTAAAGCTTCTGTGTGTTTCATCCCTGGGGGAAAAAAAAAAAGTCTTTCAATCAATAAACCAATTTCAACCTAATTTGACAGGGGTAGAGGTTTTAAAAATATTATTTGAAAGGTTTTGAGCCGTTTCTTCTATTTCTTTGAAACGACTTTTTGCATCAAGAGATGTAAGGGCTTTGTGGCACCGACACTGAAGGAACAGCCAGTAAGAACTGCACTAAGGCATCAGTGAAATGTGCCTGGGAGCTGAATTTCCAGGCAGAGAGCTCTGCAGAAAATGATCCTCCTCCATTCTGTGTGGAGCTTGGGTGGTGGAGTGCACAGTTCCCGCTGTGCTGCTGAAATCTGCCTTGGCTTGTTGATTTTTTTTCCCCCCCCTCTGCTGCCACTCGGGGTGTTGCTGAGTGTTTTGTTTCTCTTGCAGGTAAATGGCAGGACAGAAAGCTGTGTGAAAACTTGGAGAGGCGCTGAGAAGTCCAAGTAGGTCATTCATTGCTGAAGGATATTAGGGATGAGGTCTCCTCTTTTAAGTTTTTTTTACTCTTTCTTGGCCTGCATTCTAAAAGTCTGGCACTTGTCCATTCCTTTGGCACTTGCCTAAAACAATGGCGAGTGAGCTGAGCTGTTGTGGAATAGTAACAGAGTCTTGATTAAACTGCTGAGAGCCCCTTTCTCCTCCCTGTTAGTCTTGGTGGGTGAGCTGCACATGTGAATTAACTCCTTTGCATGGGTGAGGGTGGTGTGATACACTTGGAGCTGCCTTACCCACCCAGCTCCCTGTTGAAAGTTTCTGCCTGACTTCGCGTTTCAGGCAGACAGTGAATCGTCTCTGATCTCGTTTTTGTTACTGAGAGATGAGCAATTAAGTCGTTTATCTTTCCTAACTTTTAATTTTTGGCCAAAACGGCGCCGTGTCCAAACTGTGAAGAGAGACGGGGAAAACCTGACAAACTCGGTGAAAGTGAGTTTATCAGAGAGCAGTAACAGAGCTAAAATCCACCCAGCAAAGAGGCATTTGGTTGTTAGCACAGCAAGGGCAGAGGCATATCCTGCTAAGGGGGAGTTCCTCTGCCAGGAGTTTTTAGAAGTGCCGGAAGTATCGAAAGCATAAATCTAGAAAGCTACAGAAGAACTTGGGTTACTGTTTCCTCTCAGTTTTCTGTCACTGTATCCCCCCTTCTCTCAGCAGGCAGGGAATTTTCCTTCAGCAGTACTGGGGGGGAAGGTGGAGAAGTTTTTTCTCTCCCGCAAAAAAATCGTGAGGCAACGTGAAGTTTTCCTGTGGTTTCACTTGTGATGGCTTTGTGGGGAGGGGGAGTGGGATCCAAAATTGTGAATTTCCCCAACAGATATTCATCTGGGTGTTAATAGAGCGAGCTGTCCACATTAATGATCCCAGAAAAGACTTAATTAGGTCAGAACAGGAGCAGCTCTCCAGATGATGTCTTGACACGCCGATTGAAACCTTGCACATTCCAGAGGAAGTGCCAGGTGTGCAGGCAGTGAAGTCAGACCTTGCAGCATCTTCTGAGGAGGAAACTAACCCAAACAGGGAATGCCAGTTCTCTGATTCAAAGGCACTGATGGACAAGATAGAAATAACTCTCATTTGCATATCTTTGCACAACCCTCCTGTGTGGGGTGATTTTTTTTTTTTTAAATTAATTATTATTTTATTTGAAAATTGTTCCCATTCTGCTGTAGCTGCTAGAACCTTAACTGTAATAAAAATCCTTTCTCTGACAGGGCTAAGAACCAGGATTACCTCTCACTATTTTGGATTTTCTGTTCACTTGTTTCTCTTGTTGCATAACCTTTAAACTTGGCTTTGAAGCTTGTGCCCAGCTTTCTGTTTCTAAATTCTTAAGTATTTTTTTTTTTGATGTGTTGACGTGTTAATCTGTATTTTGCTCTTTTTCAGTTCTTGTTACTTAGTGTATGTGGAGTTTTTCTTTCTAAAATTTCCCCAAAAATTCGTTAAGAAGGTCACCAAAAAAAACCCAAACAAACCCTAAACCAATTTTCCCGCTCTTGGTAATGTTTGTTGGTAATTTTGGTTTTGGATGATGGGGTTATTTTCAGTATATATTTATATTTAGATAGCATTTAGATAGTCAGCTTAAAGGGTGCCATGTAGATTTGAAACCTATCTTTTTATGACCGTAGGAGAGTTTTCTTGCTAGACAAATTATTTACAGTAAAAACTAAATTGAGATTTCATATATTTTGTAGAAAGCGGTACCTGGATTTAATAGAAAAGGCCTGATGGAGGTAATATTAGTTTTCTTGGTTGTGACATAAATTAAAAAGATCTTTGCCTTCCAGATGTAAATCTTTTACCAGACGACACCTGCTCACAACATACAGGTTTCTGGAGTGTAGTATCTTCTTTCTACTCATTATTCTTTTGATTAATTTATCTAAGTTCTGTGTTTCAGTACAAATAATGTGTGTTCTGGTGTGTGTTTGTATTGAATATGCCACACGAGATTCCTCTCAGCTAAAGCAACCTGCTTTAAAAGAGCCTTTCAGAGAAATGCACTCAAAAACCTGCAAGCTCTTTAGCTGTGTTTGTGTAGTTAATACTTTGCCTGATGCTTTGGCATGTTTGTGTGGAGTTATTTCCTACTGCTGCTCTTCTAAAATCCCAGCCTTAGAGGGGGTAATAATTCCAGGTATTAGTTCTGTGAAAGAGCATTTCTGTTCCAGGACTTTTTGTTACTTTATTACCAACTTCCAACTTCCAGTCTCTTGATAACCTATCAGTTCATGGTTTCTGGGCTGCCTGGCAGTGCTGGTGATGACCCCCCCAGACAGTGCCTGTTGTGTTCAGGCTGGGTGCAGTTTGGGGATGCCTTGTCATGGACTGAAGTGCTTAGAGATGTCAGAGGTGTAAGCATCTCTTTTGGTTTGTGTTTTAAACAGAGATCCGTTCTCTGCAACTCGTTTATTTTAGAGACTGGGCTTTGGGCATATAAAAAGGCTTTGTGGTTTTTTTTTGTTCTTGGTGAGACTCTTGTTGCTAGATTTGAATTTTTTGTTGCATGTGTCCCGCTGAGTTAGTCCTGCCGTGCCTGTGGTTGTCCCTTGTTCCTGACTGGTCAAAATGAATCATCTGTTGCACAGATAATTCATTTGGGGCAAAAAACCCTTGCTCTGGGAGCAGTGGTGTTGGTCACCACTGAGGCTTCTGGCAGAGCATGTGCTGGTACTTCAGTGGCTGGATGTAAGCGCAGGAGTAAGCTTTAAAACCTGCCTTGTGTGCTGCAGTCCAGTGACTTTGGCAGCAGAAGCAGCATATGGTGATTCATTCCCACCATCTGCTGCCCCTGGCTTGGTTGTACCATCGCAGTTGATTGTGGTTTCATCCAGTTTAATAAGCAGTTCAACTCCTCACCCCTCTGCAGTGTGTGGTCACAGCTGAGGAGATGCTGTGCTGCCGGGCTGGGAAGGGGAGAGAGGGTTTGGAATCTCCTGGAGGCAGATGGAGGGAGTGTGGCAGTGTCTCCAGGCAGGCAGTGATCTGCCCTAGACGGTTGCATCATCAGGTAGAACAGTGTTACAGTGTTAAAGGACATTTTTACTTGTAGCACTCAGCCCCTTTGTGTTCAGAATAATTGTTGTGTTGATTAATAGTATAATGTCAAAAATGTTTAATCTGCCATGTTTTAAGTAATTTAATATTAAAATGGGCTTCAGCCTTGGGGTTTGCAAAATGCAAGTTTCTAATTTAGCACAACTTCCTTGTTTGGTGTTTTTTTTTTTTTTTCTTCTTTTTTCCCCTCCAGTGCTGTTAAATTACATTCTTGGTGTAACTGTTCTGGAATAATATATTCAGTCCTGCCCTCAGCTTTTGCTGCTCAGTGCTGTTCTTCATTTTACTGATTACCTTCATGCAATTCCATATATTCCTCTCTTTCCAGTTGACCGGAGCCCTGAAATGGGACGACTGATTTTTTTTTTTTGATCTGTGAAGAAACTCATGTGTATGCTTTTCTGCCAGAGCTCAAAAAACACTTGCCAGATTTCATTCCAGGTGTTTTAGAAATCCAGTTCCTGCCGTTTTCAATAGGGATCATCTGCTTCTGCATTTTTGTTTTCCTCCAGATTTTTCCCCTGCTGGGTTTCTTGCACTGCTTCCCACCGCTGGTTGGTTTTCAGCAGTGCCTGTGCACACACGTGGATCCTTCCCAGTGACCACAGCGGTTGTCACTCGAGGTGCCTGTTGCAGCTTTGTGCCAAAGCTCCAGGTAGCCCATTTTCACCCAGCCCAGCAGAATCCTGTGTGCTCCCAGTGAAAACACAGCAATATGTGGAGACAGATAAAGGCTTTGGCTGAAAGGACAAAGCTGGGACTTGAATGATAATGAGTTGTTGATTTGTTTGGATGGTCGTGAAGAGGAAGTTGGAGGGAGGGGTTTTCATGAGTTATAAGTGACTTCACTTGCTGATTTTCCTATATTCCCTTTTGTTCTTTGATGGTGTTGGAGCTGAGATCCTTCTGGAATATGCAATCAGAATAGTTTAGTTTGGGAGGAACCTTTAAAGGCCATCTAGTCCAATTCTCTGCAATGAGCAGGGACATCTTCAACTATATCAGGTTGCTCAGAGCCCCATCCAGCCTGGCCTTGAACGTTTCCAGAGATGGGACATCCACAGCTTCCCTGGGCAACCCGTGCCAGTGTTTTACCACCCTCATTGTGAGCAACTTCTACCTTATATCTAACCTAAATCAACCTTGTCTTAGTTTAAAACCATCACCCCTTGTCCTATTGTAACAGGCCCTGCTAAAAAGTGCTTCCCACTATTTTCCTTTTTTTTGAAACCGTGTATTTGCTGCTGGTTGCACGTTGAGGATTCTGAGAGTCCCTCAAAGGCATTTGGGTGAGAAGGCAGATGCAAGTTCCTTCTTGTTCAGACTGGCTGGGGGAGCTCCAACGTACAACAAATGTACAGCAAATGACTGCTTGCAGTTCCGTGCTGTTTTCAAATACAGTGCTCTTCGTGCGATGAAAGTTTCAAATGAATCGTGTTTTAGACCAGATCAGTTAGATTATCCAACCTAATCTTCATAGATCAGGAAAGGGATAAGGGAAACCTGGAAGTGTCAGGTATCTCCTGTGTAACAATTCCCCAGTCTGCCCAGGAAGGCTCTTTTTTTACAGCATATGCTTTTCTCATGCTCATTATTTAGAGGACACCAAGTAGCTCAAGCCTATTAAGTTCTGCTTGTTCTGTCACTGATTAGTGAGAGTAATCTGTTCTTGGCTTCTTTAGAAAAATTCCTTATGTACTCTAATCTGGGTGCTATGGCTAGTTGTATTTCAAAGAACAGCTTTTCTTGAATGTGCTGCTTTCTGAACCTTTTGTCTGTTGTCCTCTAAGTAAAGCAGTTTCTTGAGGTCTGATTGATCTGAGTATGGTGAATTATTACAGTAAACAGTTGCAGTGCGGCCCAGCCATGAATATCTTGGTTTATTATATAACTTTTGGACCTGTCTTTGTGGTAAACTGTTTAGGCAATAGACTACCTAGGCAAGAAGTGTGAATCTTGGAGAGTGTGTGTGTGTACAGAGGTGTTTGTGTGAACCTACAAAGGACGGAGTATCTTGTTACTGGGTCTGAGGTCACGATCCCTTTCCACTTGCAGGTGCCTCTAAGGACTTGTCCTTTTGCCTGTGGGAAACAGTCTGGCAGTAAGGCAAGACTGTGGGAATTTGGCTAATTTGTACTTACATGGTTGGAATGCAGCCAGTTGTCACTTAGCTCTCAACTCATTGCATCTCCATTTCACCATTGTCTTCCTAGCCCCGGGAGCTCTTTAGAGTGGCTCGAGAGGCTGAATGCCGTGTCAAGCTGTGATAAGAAATTGTTAGCTATATTAAAAACACTTGCCAAAGCTTATCTTTCAAATGGCCATCATCTCGAGGGTGCTTTTCCTAACTTCCTTTTCTTGCTGTGTGCAGGACTTTGGGTGAAGAATGCAGACCATAAAGTGCGTGGTGGTCGGGGACGGCGCCGTGGGGAAAACTTGTCTGCTCATCAGCTACACCACCAATGCCTTCCCAGAGGAGTACATCCCCACCGTGTTTGACAACTACAGCGCCCAGATGACTGTGGATGGCCGGACAGTCAGCCTGAACCTCTGGGACACTGCGGGCCAGGAGGAGTACGACCGCCTGCGCACGCTCTCCTACCCCCAGACCAACGTCTTCATCATCTGCTTCTCCATCGGCAGCCCCTCCTCCTACGCGAACGTGAGGCACAAATGGCACCCCGAGGTGTCTCACCACTGCCCCAACGTCCCCATTCTTCTCGTGGGCACCAAGAGGGACTTGAGAAGTGACCTGGAAACGGTTAAAAAGTTGAAAGAGCAGAGCTTGGCTCCCACCACCCCGCAGCAGGGGACTTCGCTGGCCAAACAGATCGGAGCAGTCAAATATTTGGAGTGCTCGGCACTGAATCAGGAGGGGGTTCGGGAGGTGTTTGCCGAAGCTGTCCGTGCGGTTCTGTATCCTGTGACAAAGAAGAACACAAGGAAATGCGTCTTGTTGTAGTCCCCTGGGGTGATGGATGTTGCTGTTGACTAGAATCTTGGAGGGCTTTTTAATTGAGTTTAAAATTGAAGATTTGCATCTTGCACTAACAGCTCTAAGCAGAAATCGGTTATACAATGAATATTCTTGCAGTCTTACTGCTTCAGGGAAACTGAAACAGAACAGTCTTTTTTTTTCCAACCGAGAGGTCAAATATCTACTTTATTTCTAAAGTTCCAGTCTCCAGCTTCTCCAGGGATCACCTGGGTTCTGTCCTTATTTTAGTGGAGGAAAATAAAAGAGGAGACTCCTTTGAAGCCACTTCTTTACTAGATAGCCATCAGTTCCTAGGTTTGCTGAAAAGCACAAATTCTGATAACCCTGCTTTAAGTGTAGCTGCTGCTTTTCCCATCCGTTATTTACTGATTGAATTTGTTTTACAAACAGAAGTCCGGTTGTTTTGTCAATCTACAGCTTGAAAACAATTTGTTTACTTGCAAAAATGCCTGAAATATTACTGAGATTCACCTTATAGTGAACTGTGATCGTTTATATGAAGAGTTAGCCTAAGGCACGATTAATGCAATGAGCAAAACCCAGGGAATACCTGCAATGATTTTATTAACAGAAGCAGGAGCTGATTTTTCCTAATGTAAGGAACTTAGAAAAATGATGAATCACTCAAACAAGTGATTTTCGTAGTTTTGAGGTGGAGAAGTGAAAGAGTAGTTCAGATGCAAGTCTTCCATAAGACTTCTAAACTGAGATTTTATTTCACTGTCCAAAGAGACATTGCACCCTGAGAATAAAGTTTTAACAGTTACCTTCCCGGGCTGAGATATTTGGGATGACACTGCTCAAAGTGAGATTTTCAGTGTAATCTCTCTGATGAATCCCAGGGACTTGATAGCAGCTCTTGGGGAATCAGTTGCTTCACTTTTTAACGTTCTTGGGGCCACCACCTGAGATTTTTATGGCAAATTCCTTTGTTGTTTTTTTTTCTGTGAGAACACTGACAGAAATTTGGGAGGTTCTGATTACAGGAGCCCATGTTTCTCCCTGTTTTCAGTTCAGTCTGTAATGGTTAGCCAGTCACTGGATAGGATTACCTGGGCAGTTTTTTTTTTTCCCCTCTCTACTGGATGCTCAGTTATTAGGAACTCTTTTAACCCAAGTTCTATTTACGTACTTTTTAACTTTCTTCAGCAGCTCTGGTAAGTAGCAGCTGGCTTTTATTTTCAGGATGTGCACTGTTCTTTATGTGTGGTTCCGGGACCAGCTGAGGAGTGAGAGCATGAAACCTTCCTTAGACTTAAACCTTCCAGCTCGATGGGATGAAAGCAGCATGCTTCAAAGATACTTTGTGTGAAACCAGTGGTGCTGGACTGGGCTTTGTTGTCTGAAGTTGACAGTGCTGTCTTTGTCTGGCTGCAGCCTCAATTGGTCATTCAGAACTTGCTTTCTTGTGATTCCCACACATGCAAAACTGCACTGGTGTATATACCCTGGTCAGGAAAAAAAAAAAAAAAAAGAAGTGCCTCGTTTTAGCAAGATAACAGAAAATACATCAACAAGGTTATTAGGGATCTTGTGTTAATTTGAGCTTGCTTTATCTGATGCTGGCAAAAATACCAGGTGGATGGAAATGTTTTTATTTGCGCCCAAATTCCGCTCCTCGGAGAGGATGTGCCTTTCTTCAGCTGGTGTAGCTGATGCTGACGCCAACTGCAGTGCTTGTTTATCCGAGATGCGCTCACTCTGGTACTGCTTTAGCCATTGATTTTGTAAATTGCAGTTAATCCAAATCCTGGTACCTGTGGTTAGTGAACCAACACCGAGTTCCAGACGTTGCCAGAGCGCAGGCAGTACCAAACCCCCCAGTCTGTGGGGTGTTTGCAGAAGCCCTGCAGACTCTACGTGTTTTAATTCACCAAGTGCCATTGCCTGGAGTGTCTTTGCGTCTTTTGCACTGGTAGGGGAAGTGCTGTTCCACATGTGGGTCCTGCCACAGTGCCCTGAGGGCTGTGAGGGTATAGAGTATTCTGTGAGATAACCTCTACTTACCACGTTCTGCCTTGGCTTTAGCTGTAGGCCTTTAGTGTGGGCTGGGCTTGCAGGCAGCAATTAACTCTGTGCCTTGTAATTCAAGATTATTTTCTGTAGGTAAATTTCAGTAACTGAGTAAATAGACTTTACCATGTTTAAAATGTATTTATTTAAGCCAGTGCACATGGTTTGTTTTAATGCTGGTCAGACCTAAATCAACTGTCTAGTTACCCCCCGTGCAAGCCCTTAACCTTTGCTTTATTCAGAGATGTACTTTAAAAAGTCTGTGACATGTTTGAACTAGTCTTAAGAGGTGCCTGTTATTGAAATTAAAAGTCTACCTTTTTTTTTTTTTTTTTTTGCTACATATATTTGCAGTTTTGTACTGAAGCCACTACTGTTTTAAAAAGTTTTTACTTTTTTTACGTGCTGAAATCTTTTAGTTCGGTGTCTTTTGTGGTTATTCCTAACTGGATTACAAGAATTTTGCGGAGAAGAAATCTTGTGAGAAGGTATTATTGCACAACCCTTGCCCCCCACACCCCGTTTCTGTAGGCTCACAAACAGCCATCCTGGTGTGAACTGGAAAAGAGTATGGCGAGATAAAATTCAACTGCTTAATCAATTGATTTGAATCGGTTGCATTACTGATTGCATGATGCCAGAACACTTTATGCCCATTCAGATTACTTAGTAAACGGATTGCACAACAGTTCTGAGGAGAGTAGCACAGTAGTCATGAAAATGAGCGGGGAGTGAACTTTGAACACCATCAAAAGCTTTTTACTGGCTTTGGAGTACCTGGTTATTTGGATGCCTTGTATTTCTGTCGCTTCCTGCCAGGAGTAAGAGCCCTGGCTGACAGCTGGTTTCTTCCAGCCTCTGCTTTTCCTGAGGATGAACTTCTCCATTCGGTGGGCATTCTCCATTTCTGATCTTCCCGCCTTTTTTCCCCCCACCCTGACAATTTTTGGTGCGTTTTATTCTAAGTAGTCCAGTGCTTCAGTCTGCAATCAGTTCTGTTTCTCCCATGTTTTATTTTTCTCCTGTGGGCAGTTGACAAATACAGACTTCACATCATCCCGTGGCTGGATTTTGTCTTGTTTTGGGAGATCAGAAAACCCGGTTAAGCCGTGTGGGTTTCCCCAAACCGTTCAAGATCCTTCAGTTTGTTACTGAGTAGAGATGCAGTGTGTATGTCTTAATTCACAGAAGAGACTCGCTGTGAAGAGACAGATTTTAATCTTTCAGTTTGTGAATGATTTCTGAAATGCTTGGGTTTTTGTTTTTTTTTTAAATATAGCTGAAGCTGAGCATGCTTGTTCAGGAATTCTGTGTCCAAAGGATGTTACGAGGTGGGCTTAGATGTGGAAGTGCTTTCTTCAGTTTACAGCTGCAGCTATTTCTATGAAATTTAAACTAGAAGAGCCTCACCATGCTTCGTTCTCAAGTGCTGAACCTCACTCTGTAGCAACCTTGGTGCTGCTTGGGCTGACCCCGAGGAGGGGATGGATCTCACGGGGGGTCCCAAACCCCTGGGTGGGCAGCAAGGACCCCCCACCACCAGCGGGGGCCCAAGACTCTGAAGCGTTGGTACTGATACATACACTGGCGACTCGATTTTATACGATAAAATAATTTGTATCACGTCTAACAGTTTTAAAGGATTTTTTATTTTTTTTCCCCCCTCTCTTTACTTTTAAATTATGCGTCGCAATAAACCTTTCCTTCCCCCCCACCTCCGTGGCTTGTCGCATTGACTCTCCGTGCCGCAGCCGTGCTGAAGTTATCCCATTCCAGGGGAAAAAGGGTTCCCAGAGGGCAATAAAGGGGGGGTGGATTTTGGGGATGGGCGGGGCGGGGCCGCTCCAGGAGGCGGGGC